ATCAGTTGACAGTTCACATGAAAAAAGTCCACAAAGGTGAGAAGCCATACCTTTGTAAGACCTGCGGGCAAACATTCATAACCATATACCAATTGAAAAGGCATAGTGTAATCCACACACATAAACTGGTATACAGCTCTGACCTGCTGACAAACTTAAAACACACGTCTTGATAGAAAAATTTAATTTTAGTTTCCGGGGAAACTGCTTTTGGGAAACCTTTCAAACAGAATAGTACCTTGAAAAGCCACATAGAAACCCACACTAGTGAGAAGCCATTGCTCTGCAAAGATATTTTGATGCGATGTCTCAATTGGCAAGGCATAAAAGAGATGATTCACTTCCGGTAGTTTGTGGTCAGAACACATGAAAACTCACAGAAGTAAGGAGCCACATAATTACACAGGAGAAACCATCTAGCTTTGTGCAATTTTTGTTGTACAGTGAGGTCATTGTTTCTGCAAATGTTTGACCTGTTACATGATTATTTTAGTTTTTACTAATTTTATTAACTACCGCAGAGCTGAATGTTGAAGCTGAGAAACGCTCTCTTTTTTTTTTTGTCTGCAGGATGGCCTCTAATTTTACAATTTTAGGTATTTTGTGATGGTGTTAACTTGATATAATTCTTTAGAGGTGACACAAAAACACATATCATACATGATCAGACTAAGCAGTACTGAATACAATGATCAGTTCCCAAAGGAAAGTTTTGTACAGTGATAATGTCAGAATACCAGATTCACAAGTCTAAATCTATACATTCATTAAGGCTGCTGATGGTTGTGACTGACAGCCAAAGTAAAAGTAGTCACATTGAAGAATACTTCTCTTCAGAGTGTTAAATTATTATATGCCAGAGGTGTTTTAATATTGCAGCTCACCGGCTGGAGGTTGTGTAAAAGCATGATTTGATATTGTTTGGAAAGTCGAAGTGTCTCAAATTGAACAAGCAGATATGCAGTGGTGGAAGTACTGTTCTTATGTACAACATTTATTGTTCTCAAATGACCAAGACTGCGTGTACATTCCACACCGATATATAAAAGACATCCAATAAAAACACCTATTTTGAGGTATATGTTCTTTGATTACTTTCAGTTTGTCACATAAACTTAGACTTTACTACATTTCACTTTTTAGACCACCGCATTTACTTAAGAGCTAGTTAATTTGCTGACTAAGATTTTATATATAAAAGTATTATTATTGTTAAACTTGTTAAACTACCCATCAGTATGTGAACAAGGTAAATAATCTAATGGCTCCACCTTGACCAGTAACACTGACAGGGATAATTGTACATGAGTACTTTCATACGTTCATACTTGGTAGTAATCTTGACAAAAGTACTACCGGAACAAAATATTTTAAATACATGGGACTATTCAAGTCTGTGTTATTGCTACTTTTACTCAGTTTTCTTAAGTTGTTACACTCCAGCTGTTGTGTTTTTTTTATTTATTTAAAATAACTGTCTATTGCTTAATTTCCATGTGAAACGAAGCGAGACAAATGCACAACCCGAACTGAAAGCGGAACGAAAAGCCAACTCACTTTCACTGCCGGAGCTTAACAGCGTGACACTCAACGGAAGTAAACATACAATGGTAGTGAAGTGCATGCATGGAATAATCAGGTAGGCAGTAGTTTCATTTGTAATTAAGCAACAAATGGGTGTATCGCTTATGGATCAGCAGCAAAAACTTCATTAAAGAAGTTGGAGGTGGTGCAAGCTCAAGCCTTGAGTGGGGCTGTAAAATCAACTCCTGTGTCTGCTCTTCAGGTTGAGGTGGAGGAAATGCCGCTGAATATTAGATATAAACAGTTAATGATGCACTACTGGGTAAATCTGCAAGGGCAGTCTGAGGATCGACATCCTACAACAAAGATACATCTCCCATGTTGGGAGAGTGAAAGGGCCAAACAAGGGTGTTTTGCATGGAAATGTGAGGAAATAGCTGGAGACATGACATTAAGTCAAGGAAGATATATCCCTACAGTGCCATTATCCGTAACACCACCCTGGATGTTTCCTTCAGTGTTAGTTGACTTATATTTTCTGGGGAAAATGCAGGGTCAAAAAGGTTGTGGAAATATTGCAGTATTGGTTGAAGATAGGTTACAGACACTATATCAAACATTTTCCAGGTATATACAGATGGATCCAAGGATCCTAATACAGGCAGAACCGGTTTTGCTTTCAGTATTCCTGCCTTACATGTTTCTGTTAAAAGAAGGACATCAGATAATTTATCCGTATATACAGTCGAGATGTTGGCAATTGTAACAGCATTACAGCGGATAGAAGAATTACAAATTAAAAAAGTTATTCTGCGTAAAGACTCATGCTCTGCATTAATCTCACTGCAGTCATTTACATCTCACAGCAGGCAAGATATGGTTAAAGAGATCTATGAAACGTACAGAATTAAAAATATGAACATGCTGATAACATTTATGTGGACCCCAGCTCACAGAGGGATCTTGTGCGTACCACTCAGTAAATCTGAAGCCAAAGGAATAATCAAAAGAAACATCATTAAGGAGTGGCAGAACAGCTGGGATACAGGAAATACAGGGCGACATCTCTATACGCTACAGCAGGATGTGGGCACAGGAAGGACAGCTAGAAGAATCAATAAAGAGGAGAATATCTTGACAAGGCTGAGGGTAGGGCATACTAGACTTAATAAAACACTGCACCTAATAAACAAGCACCCTTCAGGATTATGCGAACACTGTCAAATGGAGGAATCAGTAGAACATGTAATTCTTCACTGTCAAAAATTCTCTCGGGAACGAGAAACATTAAGGAGGGAAATCAGTAAGCTTGGACAGGAAGAATTGAGTCTAAATAAATTTATTTGGCATTGAGGTAGGGAAACTATTTCATTATTTGAAAGAAACTGGATTGATCAATAGGGTTTAGTGAACAGTGAAATAACTCAGTAACTAATCTTTGTTGTGTTTTGTTTATTTACAGAGGGTAGGTGAGTAAAGCTTAATTTTAATAACACAATAGAGATGAATACGGTTTATATGTGATCCCAATGGTTTAAAGCTATGCTAGTGTTAATTTCTTCCCACCTCAGCATGTTTTCTTTACATCACAGTAACTTATCTTTTCTTCTCTGTCCCTCCAGATCTCCCACAGCAACTGTACAGCGCAGAACCACAGAAGAAATGTAACAAAAAAAGAAGTCACATAAATAATATACACGACTGTACCAGGTCAGATTTTAACTGCAATACTCGCAAAGGTAAAAAAAACAAAATAAAATCCGATGTGATACTTGGTGGGAAAATATTCCAGTTTAAAATACACTTGAGAACCCACACAGGTGAGAAGCCATATACTTGCAAAAAATGTGGGAGAGCTTTCAGTCGTAGTGGTCACTTGACGGTGCACATGAGAAGACTTCATACAGGTGAGAAGCAGTGCCTTTGCAAGACCTGCGGGAAATAATTCTGCACCATGTATTCATTGAATAGAATCCACACACATAAACTGGTATACAGCGCTGACCTGTGCACATAGTGTACATTTTAATAGACTATATTTCAGTTTTCAGATGAGTCTGAAAAAGTGGTTGTTAGGAAAGGATGTTGGTGACCATGGAGCGGCTGTGGTTAGTAAAGAAAAATTAGGGAGCAAACTAGTCTGTTTCACCTGAGGAAATGTTTCTTTGGATTTTCTTAAAATGTATCTGATCAAATAAAACTAGGCTTCAACCTTGCCTTAAACCAGTCGTTCTTTCCTGTTATCTGTGTTCAGTTACAATTTTATAAACCCCTCACACATTTAACAGAAAAAACTATTTTAAGAAGTTTGCTCACCAGTCTTGCTAGCAGTACTGGTGGGGCTGACGAGCTGAATCCAAGGGGAAGGCAGACGTCTTCACACCGACTGATACCATGTCACCACTTAAGGTGAGTTAGTTTTTAGGTGTTCTACCTGGGTACTTTATAGTGGCACAGCATATTTAGGGAATTGCATGGGTCTGGTCTCTTAAAAATTTGGGTTTCCAAACACTTGATTGGTAGGAATTCGGACGAATGTGTAGCATCTCCATGTTAATCTATTGTGACACGCCTCGGCCTTAGCTGACGTGCCACTGGCAGCAGTGCAGATGAGAGAAACACTTTGGGAAGACTCAAGCTATTGTAACCAATTTTATACCTAATGATTGGTCACGTTTCTAAATAACATATGGGATGGATTTTACAGATGCAAAAATGTTAGAAACAATTCACCTCGAGTTCATCTCAAACTGAAACACACTGCACACTTTTTTGATTGGATCAATCGTATCTCGAACTTTTTTATGCCAGTGCACTGATGCAAATCGGTGAATCCCACACAGTAAGTCCCACACAGGGATTTACTCAAATCACATACTTAAAAAACACCTCAGGTTTGTTAAACTAGCATTGTTTTATCCTTTATATGACTGTATTACTCACATTTCTGTAAGCAATTTCTCCCAAATTCACAGATATCATAACTGACTGATCTTGCAGGTCATCTGGATAATCACTATTCGTTTGTTGCTTCTACCTTCATACAAAGTTGCATAAATAAAATCTTTGCCTGAGTTGTCTTATTATGGAAAGTATAAAAAAGATGTTATCTAATTTGATTATCCATCTACCCTCAATTGACGTGAGCAATGTCTCCTTTGAATTAGGGCGGATGGTAACACCTGCTGATGGTTGAGAGGCTTGACAAAAATAACACTGGTCACCTGAATGAATCACAATCACAATATTTCCGTATATTTTTTTTCTTTTGTCACACATATATCTACGGTACACGGTCGGTCGGATGGTTGGTTGTCTATGTCTCTGAACTGGGGACTTGTCCAGTTGGTAGCCCGCCTCTCGCCCATTGTTGGGATTGGCTCCAACCCCAACGCGACCCTGCACGGATCTGGCACGGATCTGGCACGGATAGGGTTAGAGCGTTGAAGATGATGGATGACTTCCACTGTCGGAACTTAACAGTGTGACACGCACCGGAAGTAAGCAACACAAGCGCTAGTAGCGCTAGCTGCATGCATTGAATTAACTGGAAGAAGATATTGCAGTCGTAAGTCAGCTAATTATTTCATTTGTAATTAAGCAACAATGTCTTCAGTTGAGTCTCTGAGAGAGTTTGTCAGCGAACGACTAACTGCAGCTGCTGAGGAAATATTTGGAGTTTTTAGAAAAACTATCGTCCAGTACGAGGAAGAGATCGACCGTCAGCGCAGACTGCTGGATATGGTTTGTAAACCTGAAATACAGTTACACAGGACAGGTGAGTGAAGCTTAATAATAATAACAATAATACCACATCACAGATGAATTCTATTGATATATATATAAAATATGTGACTCAAATTGTTTAAATATATATACTGAACTAATTTGCTCGCATTTCTGCATAACAATTATTTATTAAACAATGACCTCACTGCACAACAAACATTGCACAAAGCTTGATGGTTTCCCCTGTGTAATTATGTGGCTCCTTACTTCTGCGTTAATAAAACAAAACAACATATATATATAATAAAAGTGGCAGTGGTTTAAAAGTGTACTGCTGTTGATTTGCTCTCATGTCTGCATGTTTTCTTTACCATCACAGTGGTACCATGTTCCTAATAACGTTATTCTCTGGCCCTCCAGAGCTCCCACAGCAACATGTCTGTAAGGAAGAGGAGGTTCTCGCTGACCAGCAGCTCTGTGTTCAGGAGAGGAACTCCAGTCTGGACCAGGAGGACCCAGAGCCTCCACAGATTAAAGAGGAACAGGAGGAACTCTGCAGCAGTCAGGAGGGAGAGCAGCACGTACTGAAGCAGGAGACTGATGTCTTTATGTGGATTCCTGCTTATGAGGAAAGTGACCACAGAGAACCAGAACCAAACAGAGACCACCAGCTCCTCTCTCACAGCTCTCATGTAGCTGAGAGTCAAGATCAGGCAAGAGGCAAGCATGAAGACAGTAACAATGTATACAACTCTCCTGTGTCAAAGATTCACCTTATTTCTCACATGGGTAAAAAGTATTTAAAATGTGACACATGTGGGAGAGCTTTCAAGTATGAGTCCCATTTGTATATGCACATGAGAATCCACACAGGGGAGAAGCCATTTTCTTGCAAGGCCTGCAGGAAAAGATTCTTTGACATATCCACATTGAAAAGGCATATGAGAACCCACACAGGTGAGAAACCATATACTTGCAATGCATGTGGGAGAGCTTTCAGTCAGAGTGGTCACTTGACAATCCACATGAGAAGAGCCCACACAGGTGAGAAGCCGTACCTTTGCAAGACCTGCGGGAAAGGATTCTGTATTGTTTCATCATTAAAAAGGCATATAAAAACCCACACAGGTGAGAAGCCGTACCTTTGCAAGACCTGCGGGAAAAGATTCTTTGACATGTCGTCGCTGAATAGGCATAAAAGAGTCCACACAAGTGAGCAGCCATATACTTGCAACACATATACTTGAACATGAGAACAGTCCGCACTCATGAGAAGCAGAATTACACTGCGAAGGTGTTAAAGGCATATAAGCTCACATACAAGCAAGTAGCCATGTATTTGAAAAATATGTGGGAGATGAAGTGAGGAGCCACATAACTGCAGCTCTTGTGGGAAAGGTTTCACTCAAATAATATACTTGGGGGAAAAAAACCCAGAGGATCAATATACACAGGAGAAACCATAGAGCTGAAAATCCTGTGCAGACGTGTTCTACTACTGAATTAAATACACCTTTGCTACATCTCTGTAACTGAATGTATACATTTCATATTGACAAGAGGTTACGATATCTTAGTTAATCAAGTAGTACATTGTCAACAATGTCAAGTTTTGTTGAACTTACCTCGTTTTCTTATGAGTGGATCGTAAACCCCTCTCTGACAAGTGATGTTGGGTCACTTCTGTTGTCATTATTAGGGCAGTGAAAGACTGTTTTTCTGACCTCATGTATTTACATAAGAATAGTTATGTTCAGAGGGAATAAATTATAACATGTAAGAGGTGTAATGTTACAGCTTACCGGCTACAGGTTGTGTTAAAATATGATTTTAAACTGTTTAGTAGGTCGATCAGTGCAGTGGTGCAAGTACTTACTGTATGTTCACATTGATTGTCTTCAGATGGCCAAGATTTCATGTAAATTCCACACAGATATGAACTCTGTAACACTTACAATAAATGAAAAATTGAGGTATGATTGATTACATTCATTTTATGTTACACATGCTTCTACTTTACTACATTTCACAGACAACTGTACTTTTATGGCCACTACAATTACTTGACAGCCATAGTTATTTTGCTGATTAAGATTTAAAATTTAAAGCTTATAATTGTCTTATTAAATATACCGTATTAAAATATAAATTACTATGTGAACTATGTTTTTAAAACAATTATTTGCTCCACCTCAACTGGCTGTTGCTAAAGATGCTATGTACACTTTCTGGCCTCAGTAACACTGAAAGGGACCATTGTGCATGAGTAGTAGTTGTAGTAGTTTTTATTTGAAATTGTTTTCAAAATAGCTCAAAAAGACATCAGTTAAATGCCAGTATAGAAAAAATAATATACTTTCCCAGAGAAAACTACCACAATTCTCATTTGAAACTGTATGAAAAGAATTTAGAGACAGTTGAGACATACAGAGTATGTGCAGCTTTTTATTCACGGATCAAAACATCCTGATAATACAGGTTCTGCAGCTGCAGTTCCTATCCACATAGCAGGGATATGCAAAAACTTCAAATTCGAAGGTGTATACTGTTCTAGTCTGTTGTAACTCAGTACAGTCTTAAGGCAGGTGCATCCAGAAATCATCAGGACATTTGAAATAATGGCAACACAAACAAGAGTAAAAACTGAAGGCGCTGAGGTCACATTAATTTGCGTTCCTGCACATATTGGCATTCTGGGTAACGAGAGGTGAAAAATCTGGCCAAACAAGGTGTTAAAAAGGAAAACTTAGACATCGGTAAGGTATAAAACTCAAAAAAGGTGGGAAAGGGCATCATATGGAATGAAAATCAGTGGCAGCAGCACTGAGAGGAGATAAGAGGAAGAAGTTCACATTTTATTCAAAATAGATTGGATGTTGTGAAAAACATAGTGACTAATTTAAGAAGAGGACACTGTAGAAATAGGAAAACATCTGACCGGTCTCTTGAGTACGTTGTCATGGACCAGAAACTGTAGAATATGTGCTTCTGAGTTGCAGGAACTATATCTTAGAGAGAAAGGACATGGTGGAAGAAATAAAAAACGACAGGCTAACAAGCAGGATTAAAGAGAATTCCAGAGAGTGGTGGAAGTGGACAAGGCAGAGATGTTGGGTCAGCTTCCTAAAGAGAAAGAGGGATGACGACAAACCTGTGGGGGGGAGGCAATGTAGACATTAACTACCACCAGAAGATAGCAGTAATGCAACACGAAGGACGCAAGCTGCCGATGAACCTCAAAGAAGAAAAAGGAAGTAAATTGAAGCAAATAATAGGTGCGTTCGAGATGACTGCGACTGGTTTTCGCCGAATTGATAGTCTGCATGAGGTCAAACGCACCTGTTGTTCTCAAAGAGTTTTGTGAACAGTTTAATGCCACTTGTTACAGTAGATACAGTTTGGTTGATGGGAAACAAGCCTGAAAACTAAAAATAGCATAAAACAATTTCCATGTAAGCTGTATTGTAGTTCTTTTACCTCAAAAACATGTACATAACAGCTAAAGTTACTTTATCTAATCCTAAATCCTATGGTTGCAACATAGGTAAAACTGCACTCCACCTACACTTGCTACTACATCAAGTGCTACACGTTATGGCATCAGTAATCAAATAGTATATAATTATATGGCACTAACAGGCCATTCTGCATAATAATCCATGTTAACGTCTTTTTTAAAATATATTTTTCTTATAGTACTTTTTTGTTTTTAACATTTTGAATGTACTATGTATTACATGGTTGTATTTCTACTTAATCCTAAATACTTTGTTACATTTTTATGTAAAAGTATTATCTACAAAGTAACAAAAAAGATGGTTGTTAAAAATAGTAGTTTACAAAGGATGTCCCTGTGCAATGAATTGGTAGATTTACATCCTTGCCACTGACAATAGACACATAATTTTGAATGAATCCCATCAGTTAAAAGAACAAAAAACTCCTACACTTCCACTGTGGGAACTTAACAGTAGCATTAAGTAGCTGGATGCATGTATTGAATTCAGACATCAGCTCTTTTGAAACCACATACAGGTGAGAAGCCACATTCACGCAAGATATGTGGAAAAGATTTCAGTGTCTTTAAAGTCCACACGAGGACACACAGGTGAGAAGCCATACTGTTGAGACACCTGTGGGAAAAGATACTGTGGTGTGTCTGACTTGTCAAGGTGTGTATGGTTGCATAAAGAGACGTAGTGTTGTATTTGTAAAATATGTGGGAGATGATTCAGTTCTAGTGGTTTGTGGTCAGAAGTACACAAGAACTCACAGTTTGGAGGAGCCACATAATTGCAGCACTCGTGGGAAAGGTTTTACTCAAACCACAAACTTGAAAAACACCTGAGAATCAACATACACAGGAGAAACCATAGAGCTGAACTCCTGGCGAGACATGTTCTAGGAATTCTAATGTATTATTATCATGACAGCTACATAACAAATGTCTTGCAAAAGTTAATAATTATTGATGACAGACTATTCCAAAAACACAACATGTCTCCTGCTCTGCTCTGCTCTGCTCTCCAACAACAATAAACACACGAATCATCAAATAATCAAAATTAACATTACACTCCCATTGGTAGAGAGAGGAGGGGCTGGTTTGTCTCAGCAAGAAGATTGCTTCTATAGTTTAAACACAGATTTGTTGTTCACAATGTGATGTTAGCATAACAGGGAGAGTCGACAGTGAGTTTACTGTGTCCTTTTGGATTTTAATGCTTCAGAGCTGCACTAGCAACATCACTTCTTCTTCCAGCACACCTGTAGGCAGTAGCAATGAGGACTGACACAGAAACGCTACTTGGGGGACTGGTTCCAGGGACTCTGCAATCTCATGCCTTCCCATGGCAGTAGCTGGATTTGTGGTGCTCAAGCAAAATAAATTATGTTTGTTTCATGAACGCACTTTAGAATCAGTGTAAAACCGCTACAAGCAAACAACAAGCCCTGGGTGACCCTTGACTTTAACCAACGTCTTAATCAGAAAATGTGTTTGTTCTGCAGAAAAGATTAAAAGCAAGGTGGTTGATTGTAAGGTATCATGTAAAGAAAAATTAGAATGTGTTTTTAAAGATGATGCTAGAAGAGCATGGCAGGGATTCTAAACAATCGCAGGCCATGCGCCTAAGAGGCAATGAATGATTGTTGCAAATGAACTCGATATGGCAAATTACTTAAATAATCTTTACTGTAGGTTTGACACACGTGATTTTAATTTAGAACAGGCTAAGGCCATCATGAAAGAGAAGGATATGGCAGATGTGGATAATGTAATTTCTTTAGATGAAATAAGATCACATCCTTGCAAAGCTATTAGGCCAGAGGGCATCTACTGTAAGACTTCAGGGGCATGTGTGCAACAGCTGGCATGGCCTTTACAGAACCTGTTCCAGCTGTCACTGGACACTGGGAGAGTCCCCAACCTGTGAAAAAAGGTCTATAATTGTGCATATGCAGTGATAAAAGGATTTGAAAAGATTATGTTAATTCAATCTGAGGTGTCACCACTTTTGGTTCCAAACCAATTTGACTACCGTGCAGGAAGAAGTGTTGAAGATGTGCCACTGACTATGATCAATAATTTATTTATTTGTATTGGTGGATTTTAGCAGTGCGTTTAATACCATCCAACCCCACCTGTTGGTGGACAAATTGGTGGATCTTGCAGTGAATACCAAGCTTATTTTGTGGAGTAACAAATTCTTACAGGAGCCCCCCATTTTATACATTCTGTACACCAAGAAATGCCCGGCTACAGCTTCAGCTCACGCTTATTTTAATTATGTAGATGACACAGCACTGGTAAGGTTACTAAAATCTGACAATTCATCAGCTGAGGATTTTGAGAGGGAGACACAGAGTTTTATTCAGTGGTGTTCAGCTATCTTAGAGGTCAATGTAAAGAAAACAAAGGAGATGGTTAAAGATTTTAGTAGTAATAATAGTCTCCCCTTCCAAGATTAATGGTGAATTAAATGAGCGGGTCTCAATTTACAAGTACCTTGGAGTTAAAATTAATGATCACTTAAGATTCAGTGAATGCGCACGGATAAAGTCTAACAAACTACAACAGAGGTTGTTGAGTGTTTAATTTCTTTGACCTGATCTGCACCTTCGGGAACATGCATATTCAAGATCATGCCAAACTGCAGTGCATGATCATGACGGCAAGTCGGATCATTACAGTTGATCAGGTGTTTGCAACACAGCAGTACAATGACTTTTTCTTAAAGAAGGCTGATCAGATCCTCAATGTCCCCTCCATGAAATTCTGGAACAGTAGTAGGTCAAAGGTCGATTCCCGGTGCAGAAAACTCGAACAAGGTACAGCGAATCATTTGTGCCTACAGCAGTTTAGTTAGATTTGATCAGATTTATAAGACTTTATTATATTAGATTATTTATATTGTATACTGTACATTGTATAGGATGTATATTTTATAATGCTAGCATTGTACAGGATACTTTATTGACCAATAATTCCTTTCTTCCTGCTCAACCACATCTACGCACACATGGACTGTGAGGGTCATGTTATTTGACTTCTCCAGCGCTTTCAACACCGTCTGGGTGAGAAGCTCACAGCGATGCAGGTGGATGCCCCCCTCGTGTCCTGGATTGTTGACTACCTGACTGGCAGACCACAGTATTCGCGCCTGCAACACTGTGTGTCAGACAGCGTGGTCAGCAACACTGGGGCCCCGCAGGGGACGGTCCTCTCTCCCTTTTTCTTCAACGTCTTCACCATGGACTTCAACTACCACACAGAGTCCTGTCACCTTCAGAAGTTTTCTGATGCTGTGGTTGGATGTATCAGCAAGGGTGATGAGACTGAGTACAGGGCTGTGGTGGGGGACTGGGTCACATGATGTGAGCAGAACCATCTGCAGCTCAACATGACAAAGACTAAGGAGCTTGTTGGGGATCTAAGGAAAGAGGTCCTGAGGTCCTTCAACATTTGCCGGACAATGTT